GAAAGAAAGGAAGAAAGAAAGGAAGAAAGAAAGGAAGGAAGAAGGAAATGAAGAAAGAAAGAAAGGAAGAAAGAAAGCCTTCTTCCCTCCCTCCCTCCTCTCGCTCGCTCGGTTGAGAACTGGACCACTACTGATTGTCATCTGTAACACGCGCCTTGTAACTCAATTAGGCACTGATGTCTGAATGCTGTAGCCACTGCAGGCAATACCTATCCGATATCCGATACCCTCGGCTCACTGGCTGCTGATCTGCTTTCCAGACACTGCGACCTTAGTTGCGCACATCAAAGCTCGGTTTCCAGGCTGAGCTGCGTTGGACAGGGTTTCAGTGCAAGAAGCAGCTGGTAAGCTGGTAATTCGTCTCTCGTGACTAGTCATATAGTATAGATAGGTTCTTGGACGTAGGCAAGAGAACCCAACAAATTTACTTTCCTAGGTACATGATGGAGAATCAGGATGTGGGTGAAACATGGAGCACCGATCTAACCCTCTTACATGTGGTAAAGGACATTACAATAAAGGGAGGCATTGTTTTGGGCTCGTTGAAGGTTTCTGTTGATTTGGGAAATCAGCACTCACAATGCCCGCTTCTTCTTTTTACTGATTGTCATGTGACACAAAGCGTTCAATGGCTGTCTTTTCCTTGCTACTGAGGCCCACGTGTGGAACACACGTGGACCTCCAAAAGATTTACGTTTACAATTGGCCCGAAAAATGATGCACATTTACAAACGGCTATCAAAACCCGTCCTTACGTAGTAGCTTAAAGGAGGCTAGGCGTCTTGGTAGTAAGGATAACCTCAAAGCGATATGGTCGGGAACAAAAGACGATACATAACGTTGATTGCTTATTAATGTGGATATATCCTGATATGTGCTTTGATAAAAATGTATTCCAATATATTATAGTTTTGCTCCCTTAGTGTTGACTTCCTATTTTTTGTCGCCTCAAAACGGCAATGTGTTGGCGGAATGTTCGGCAAACGATACCCAAAATGATACCATTCTGATCCATAGTCCACAATGCCAAGAGGTGGCCAGGGTCAAGCTTTGTCCCATTTAAACCAGCCAAGAGTCTCTTCCGGGCAAGCGGAAACCCTGCCGGAAGTTCAGGGCTTCGTCCATCTGATCCTTGGCTGGTCTGATTGAAATGATCCGATCCTTCATCATTTGATGAAGGAATCCCATTGTAACAAACTTCTGGATGCACACTCGTACAAGGGGGGCATCAACACAAACAGCATGCCCAGGCTGCATACATACCAGCAGTGTGAAGAGACCAGCCAAAATATAAAATCGCAAACAACAGTCAGCTGCATAACTACACCAGCTGGCGTAGACGACGCCCTCAGCAGCTGGTGTACAGTGTGTATAAATAATCCAGTGCAACACCTTGTGGCACAAAGCACCGCATAAAAATGGAAGCGGCTCAACCCCAGATTAACGTGCTCAATGGTGCAAACGAACATTTGTGGGAGTAAGCATACAAGTGTGGTTCATTGTGATTATATAATTTCTTGTTTTTTGTATTATTGTTGTTCGCTCTCTGGTGCTGTCTCTTTGCTGTTCGTTGGTGTTGTTGTTCGTTTGGGCTTATTTTAAGTCTTTCGAGTTCCTGAAGGTACGAACATCAAGAACAACGTTGTGCTAACATGGTGTCAAGTTTTAAGGCCATCAGGGTTTGGGCTTGGCTAGACTCAGGGTATCTCAGGGTAATTGGCTGATAATTCCAATCTGAAGCTGCGGGGATCGAAATCGGATCAACATTCTACCCGACCACAGCTTTCTGAAACAAGGTCCCTTATTCCATCTAATTCGCAAAGTTTGACGACACCTATGAACCTATATACACGACTCAGCTCAGCTGCTGTCTCCGGGCCACTGCAAGCCCACCAAAATGACTCGCCGATTACTCCATCCATTTCCCTTTACTTCCATCCCTGGTGCATCCAAGCCACGCCATTGTTGAGCTTGGTGACCAAGTTGAAGAGTGTGGCACCCCCATTGAGCCCCAGGCGGAAGTTTGCCACCACGATGTCCACATTCACCTTGGTGAGGTTCATTGAATCCACTATTACACGACGCAACTACTGGGTCCTCCGAGGCAAGATCTTTTCAGGAGATAAATATTTGATTATTTGATGATTGTGTCAATCAACGAACTTGTATAGTTGCATTCAGCGGACATCGTTGTCATGAGTCACATCAATCCATACTGTTTGAACCGCATCCAGGATAATTTGCATGTGTGGCAGGACTTTGCCGACAACAAATAAGAAGCCATGTGGAAAAAAAAACTAAGCTATGGCAGCTATGGTTAGCTGATTTGGATTTCTGTTTGGCAGCTCCAGGTCCATGCAACTGGATTGCAGGGCCTAAAGTTTGCCTGGCGCACTTCCTCCCAAGTGCCGGACAGCTGCATACATAGACGCACGAATCCGGATGGTTTCGGCGCTCGTGGCAATCACCTGTGGTGGACAGTGGAAACCATGTTTCTGGTAAACAGAATCAACCCAGTTTCATCAAGTCACCTCCCCTTTACCAGAAGCCTCTGAGCTTCCATATCGTTGGGGAATCGTCTGACCATCCACAGTCTCGTAAAGTAGCTTTGTCAAACTTGCGAAGCACACAGAGTCCACAACGGGTTCCAGCAAGTATATTAATAACTCAAGTGACTTTAACACAAATAGAGCTAATACTGGGAACAAAAGGAAACGGCACAGGAACAAAACGCACCCGTCCCTTCTTCAGGTCTCAAGCCAACCTGTCCTTGCAGCTTGTGTGCGAAGGCCAAGGCAATAAATACATTCTGATCAGGTGATCGCATACCGATCGTTTGAAAATTAAAAGGCCACAATTCACATCAATGCAAACGACCAACCTTTATCTTCTTTATCCAATGCGATTCAGATCGGTCTTGGGGAACCAGTTGACCCAAACGCACCAGAAAACGCCAGCTTTCAGCGTCTCCACACGTGTGAGCTGTTTCCCGCTTTTCAGCTGGCCGTAGAAATCAAGCTGCTTCACCTCTCGCCCAGTGTTGTTGTAAAATGCCCCAATTGAGGCAAACTCAGGAAAGTACGCCACCACCACCTCTCATCCGCTGAGCGAGAGTTTGGCAAAGCCTTGGATGCTGCCTTTCATCCTAGCTTTAGTTCCAATTCTGTCTGCTCGATTCTTTGTCATTACAAGCACTCATGAAGCCACCATTGGACTATACAACTCCGAATGCGAACACTGCCCCAGTCTATCGCAAAATACAATGAAGGGATATGAAGGGTCTATCTTGTCAACCGATGCAAACAGCAGGACTAGTTGACGCAAAAAGGTCAACTGGTACTCGTCTCCGGTAAGCTCCTCCATACACCACAGAAGCAATCGCCTTCATTTTTCTCTCCGACCAACCCAACCACCTCCCCGTACCCTCCGGTACCTCGTGTCCTCCAATGCGCGTATTGATGATCTTCTGCTCCTAAAGAAATCCTGCAGTGTATGCGACATCATCGCCATTCAGAGGCACCACGAAGACCTTTTCCTTGCTGGGCACACGGTGGTCAGAGGTCTTCAGCGTTGGGAAGACGGGCTTCTCGTTGGTGTTCCTGGACTCGTTCCATGGGAGATTCATGGGATCTTGAATTCATCTTTGGGTTGGGCCTAGGATGGCGGAATTATGCCCAATGGGCCACAAGGTTGGTACACAAATCAACCACAAACCGATTCTGAAGCACAGCCAGCGCTCTGATACACGATAGAGGTCGAAAAAATCATGTCCATCATACCTAAAGCACAGCCAGCTTCGGCCATGACTCGGACCAATCAATTGGCAAGTTTGAACCATTCCCAAACTCCAGTGCTGAAGGAGGGTCAACCCATAGCGTGATGCAGATTGGCTATGAATATCCCACTTTGTACAAATTGTTTCCTCTCGTTGTATTGAAGCACTGAACAATATCAGTTCTCAGGTGGTGGCGGTTGGATCTTTCCACACTTGAGACTTAGATGCCATCGTAGACGAATTGTATGGGATTCTCCAAAAATTTTGGTTTCATACCTTTCATGGAGTAGTCGTTGACAAAGACCTTGGAGCCAGGCCAAGCCTTGCAGAAGTTTCCCAGCGTCATCCGGTAAGTAGGCCATTCCTTCAACAGGGGAAGAATTCTGGAAAGTGCTTTAGGTTTCAACGGAAGATGCAGAGCAGTGGCATGTGATGTAAACGGAATTTGTTCACCCATTGTTGACTTTCAAGTGCCTCTCCTCCATCAAGATGGAGAATCCCTCTACTCTGTCTAATACAAGATGCAGTCCAAGTGCCACAGGAGTTGCCCACAAGCTTTGCGTGGACCATTCACAGGGTGAACGAAAAGCCACAGCAGCAATACTACAAAAGATTTGGGGCCTACATGAGTGGGTCGCTTGAGTACATATCTATATATATATGGTCGCTTGAGTACATATATATATATATACAGTATATATATACAGTATATATATATATACACCTGAGAAGGGAGAGGCCAGCCTCTGTAAGGAGAGCGCAGGGGAAGCGTTGGGAGGCATAAGGCGGGGCCGACATGACAGGCCTACAGTCACAGGTGGGGGGCCGGGGCACCCCGAAGTCATTGCTTGTGATGGTTCAGAGACGCACATCTCACTTTGCTGCTGCATTTCCGACCTCTTTTCCCATCACGTTGTCCCCTTCCCTCTCCTATCCTCTAAAAGTCGCGTCCTCTCCAGAGCGCTGAGCGACGCACTTCTCGCTTCGCTGGTGAGCTCCCCACCTCTTTTCCTATCACATCCTGCCCCGCGATGCCTCTCCTCCCCATGAACTCCCACCCCATATGGGGCGCCCTTTTGCTTCTGGTTAACAGGCCTCTTCACCATAGAAGAAGGGCACCCCCAAGCAACTCAAAGCTGACCCACTGCATTCTGTTCCCTCTCCTGCCCCTAACGGATCACATCACTTCTTGCGATCCCTTCCACTCGTATTAGCTACATGAAAACAGAGTGTTGGAAGACGCGCATCTCCCTTGTCAGAAGGACTTCCAACCACTTTTCACGCTCCGTTGTTTCCTGTCCAATACATAAACTCCCACCCGACCGCTTAAATAGCCCCTGGAGCCTACTCTATCGGCTGGCTTTCGTAATATATATATATATATGTATATAGTGATGGGGGACATGTCTGGTTTTGTAATCTGATTGTTTCGATGTTCTGCTGGTTCCAAGCTTCCTGCATGCGCTCCACCTTGCTGAGACCACCTTGGAAATTGGAGTGAGGCGGCCACATCTGAGCTACCAGTACACTTGGGAGTAGGGACACACCATCATCTTGTAAGATAGAAAACTTGCAGTGGCTCTGTCCAGTTCTATTTCATGAGAAAGTTCAATTGAATCACTTCGAAGAGCACAGAAGCAGGCTACGTACAAGACCAAATGTCCTGGTACGTCGACGTAATCAAAAAGAGAAGCGGACGGACAAAGTAGCAAAGCATCCTTAGCGATGTCAAGCCACAGTTGCACTCCATGCGATTCTCCGTTGTTCCCCAAAGCTGCTGTACGGGCTCCATGCTATTCTTGTCATACATCACCTGCGTGGAGGGCGAGCACAAACACTGGCTTGCATCGGCCGGCGTTATCAAAAAGCTCTTGAAACCTAGGAATGTGCGAGGTGCTGGAACATTGCATCTCTGAAGCCGTTCGATGAAGGCAATGTTTGCAGCTTTTCAGTGGCACATGGCTCCACAACAAGAAAGTCGAGTCTCACAAATACCGAAGGTCCCTTGTGCAGGGAAAGTCCAGTCCAGGAGGGTTCCTTGAATAAACAACTTACAAGTTGTCCAGCGACAATTAGTGTCTCTACATTTTCTGCCCGTCCTAGGTCCTAGGCCCTGCACTGCTCCAAGTCGCTAAGTTGTTTTCCAGCTGCGTCATGGGGTGGAGATCCAAAGGTTTCCCACCAAGCGATGGTGTATAAGCAATGCCCAGGTTGGAAAGACCACAATATGTCAAGACAATGTCCTCTCCAGCATCCCCACCATTGGCCACATGTGGACGAAGAACCTCAAAGGAGTCAAAACAGTTTGTGGACCTTCTTGAAGATGTCTGGTGCCCCAACTTCTCGTGATTGGAGTGGTTGGATGTTGGATGTTGCCACAGGTCAACAAGATCACCAACAAGAGGACATAGACGGAACATTGTTACTAGAAGCAAGAATGCTCTTAGTAGCGATGCCAGGAGCCCCTAGTAGCGTCCCTGCTCCTAGTAGTAAGGCCAGGAGCCCCGATCGTAGCATCTTGTTACTAGTAGCGTGGCACCTGTTACTACTAGCGTGGCACTTGTTCCTAGTAGCTTCTTGT